AGGAGGATGGGACATAGCAGAGGGTGGGGGATGGGGAATCAAGGATGGCAAAACAAAAGGCAAGGTATGCAGGACATAAGAATTGGAAAATTATTTGCTGAGAACATGTATGTTGATGTGCTTGATTGAGCCAATGCACAGTGTATTTTGGATGGAAAATTCATTTGTGTGTTGTGATGGTGTATAGTGAATTAATGTAGAAAATGAATAAAATTTTAAAAAATAATAATTAGAATAATAATAATAATGATTGGGAAAAACATAGAAAAGATATTGAATGATGAAGTGGGGAGATTAATGTCTCTGTATTGACTGACATGCATGGCATTCCCTTTTAAAAAAGCAATATAATACACTGTAAAGTTATATGTAATCCAATGTAATATAAAGATTATGATAATAATAAAAATTTAAAAAAAAAAAAAAAAAAGGAGACAAAGAGGGGCTGGAGGGACCAGCAGCTGGAGTGATGGCTATGTCACTGGACTCCCATGTAGTCAACTGCAGTTCGAGTCCTGGACCCGGTGACTTAAACTTGCGCTGGGAACGTGTGCATGTGTGCCCAAGATCCCGAGAGGAGAATGAAGACGGGATTGCGGCATGGCCATCCCCCTCTGGGAGGGGATTTCTTGCTTCATCCCCCTCTGGGAGGTGATTTCTTGCTTTCTGTCTCTCTGTCTCTTTCTGGCGAGCGCACACGCCCTACAGCAAAAACCTTTCCCCCCCAAAAAATAAACAAAGAGGGGTTAGAGAGAACAAGAGTAGATATAGAGATACCAGCACAAAGACTACTGCCAATTCAGAAAAATAAACGGATGGGCAGTAATGACAGTAGAAATGCGAGGTAAATGATTTGAGAGAGCACATAAAAAATTCAACAGATGTGGTGATAAACGGGATCTTACAGATGACTGAAGAATCATTAATGACTTTCAGAGAAGTCAATGTGCCCCAGCTTGCCAAGCAATCTTGGAATAATTGTTAGTAGCACCTCCCACTACCCACAAAAATATCCTGGTTTGAACAATAAATTAAAGTTACCCCACTCCTAGGTCTCTAGTTTACAGTAATTAGACACGACAATCCACAGAGCTAGGAAACAAAAGGGAGCAATTTCATAATAAATTCCTTTTTGGATAAGGTCATTTTGAAAAATGGGTAGCATGGTGGTTAAGGCAGTGGGGTCCCATGTGGTTGACAGTATGGTTCAAGACCCAGACCTGGCAGCTTCAAAAATATATTGAAGGGGCCAGCAGGTGGCATGGTGGTTAAGGTATTGGACTCCTACCTGGCTGACAGCAGTTCAAATCCCAGATCCAGTGGCTTGAAATGCATGACAGACACACATGTGTGTGCCCAGAATCCCAAGAGGAGGATGGAGGAGATGGGTTTGTGACATGGCCATCACCCATGGAAGGTAATTTCTTACTTTCTCGCTCTCTGTCTCTGTCTCCAATGTGTGTACACACCCTACAGGGAAAATTCTCTTAAAAAAATAAAAAAATAAAAAAATTTAAAAAAAAGAAAGAGAGAGAAAAAGAAAAGTACACCAGGCACATGCATGTACGTTCCCAAAATCCTGAGAGAATGGAGAAGGGACTGCAGTATGCCATCTCCCCTGGGGGGTGCTTTCTCAATTGCTCTCTCTCTAGTGAATATATGCACACCATAGCTTTTTAATTTTTTTAAAAGATGTCTACAGATGTGAACTAGTTATCTACATATAAATGGAACCAACCTAACATGAAAGAGGTTATCTCATATGAAATTATTTATAGAGAAGACTTAAGTTTGGGCTTTGAGGAACTCTAACTCAAACAGCCAGATACAGACAAAAAAACCCTCAAGTTAGGAAGAAAACTAAGCATCATTGCATCAGGAAAGCCAACGAGAGAAACCATTTCAAGAAAGAAGGGTCAAATGTGTCTAAGAATGTGTGAGGATAAGGTAAATGAGAAGTCAAGCTCACTATTTACCAAAATGACAGCCGTTCAGTAGACCAATTGAGGAAGAAGTTATACTAGATTGGGTTAAAGAGTAAGATCAGCCAGAAGGTAAGGCAACATGTTTTGGAATGCTGACCTGCAGTCCTGGGCTCACATGCCAACACCCCTCTATACATGCCACAGGTGTGTACTCTCCTGGCTGCTCTTCTGGAAGTAGGTCACAGTGTGAACACCCTGCTGGGGAAGCCTGTCTCTCTCTCCCCTACTCCTTCTCTGTCTCTCTCTTTCTCATGGAAGAAATAAACTTTAAAAAAATAGTGAGTCAAAAGAGAAGAAATGTAAACAAGTTTATACAACTTTTTCAGAGGTTTGACTTTAAAGGGAAGGAAAGATATGTGCTTCTCTGGAGCAGAATATTGCCTTATACTTTAAAAAAAAAAGAAAAAGAAAAAGAGGGAGAAATTAATGGGAAAAATCCATTCAAGAAGGAAAAGAGCATAATTTAAAGGCTGTCTATTAAAATGAGATAAAAGATACAGACACCCTCTTAAAATCAATAATCTGGCTGGGAATTAATAATGAAAAAACCGATAACACATACCTATCATTTTCTTAGGGAAAAAGAGTACTAGACCAAAGACCCTAGTATTTCACAGAAACAATACATTCAAAGAGGTATATGGAATATTCTAATAATCATAGATGTATACACACCCCCTTATAACAATATAACATTATAATATATAACACTACTCATATTAAAACCTTAAATAGTCAATAAAACATAATTTTCATCTTCCTACTCAGAGCTAATAATATTCCACATATCAATATCCATGTAATTTATAACAGATCTATATTCAGTTATACCTTTGGTGAAGATTATTTATTTCTTCATCCTTACGGTTTATTTCCACTCTGGCAGTTTTGATAAGTGCTGAAATATTCTTCTTAAGAGACTGGTTTTCATTTTTTAAGCTGAAATTCTAAAACACCATAAATTAATGAAGTACATATTTCAAGATTACTAATGCCACTATTTACATTAGCTAATAATTACTATATTTTTTAAAAAGAGATTTTTGCTATAAGGCACATGCAATTGCCAGAGAGTCAGAGAGCCAAAAAGCGAGAAATCACCCCCAGGGTGATGGCCACACTTCAATCCCTTCTCGTCCAGTCTCCTCCTCTCAGGATTTTCAGCAGGCATGCACACAAGCCTGGCCTGAGTTTTAAGCCACGAGGTACAGGACTTGAACCTCAGTTGACAATGTGAGAGTCTAGCAATATAACCATTATGTAATATGCTGGTCCCTAATAATTATTATTAATAATTAACATGCTAGGAATCGCACATTTTCTCACACAACTCTAAAAAGCCCTGTGAGTCTTTTCCCCATTATACAGACAGGGAAGCTGAGATTCAGAAAAGATTACTGACACCAAAAAAAGCTAACTTTAAGTTGGCTGGCTTTAAGCCAGCAGGTGGGATGGAGGTTAAGGCAGCTGGATTCTACATGGCCAACTGCATGATCCAAGTCCCAGACTTGGCAGCTTGAAAATAAGTCAGGTACATGTGTGCCCAAGATCCAGGGAGAAGAATGGAGAAGAAGGAATTGTGTCATGGCCATCACCCTGAAGGGAACCTTGGTGGGGGCAGGGAGGGCGGAGGGGGGTGATTTCTCACTTTCTCTCTTTCTTGCTGTCTCCAGCAAGCGCAAGCACCCTATAGCAAAAATTTTAAAAATTAAAAAGCAGAGACTAGCAAGTGGTGTGTGGTTGGGGCGCTGGACTCTCACATGACCAACTGCAGTTCTAGTTCAGGACCTGGCAGCTTACTTTCTCACTCTTCCCCTCTCTCGCCAAATTGAATAATGTTAAAATTAATACAATTTTTTAAAATTAAAAACAGGGCCAGCAGGTGGCATGATTGTTAAAGACACTGAATTCCTACATGGCCAACTGTGGTTCGAGTCCTGGACATGGCAGCTTGATTTCTCGCTTCCCTTGCTCTCTCTTTGTCTGGTCAACTTAAAAAATAACAACTGGAATTAAATAAATAAATAAATTTTTTTGAAAAATTAAAAAACAAAAAGTGCATTTAAAATAAAACTGCTTAAAACAGGGATCAAGGGAACCAGCAGTTAGCGTAATGGCTATGTAGCTGGACTCCCACGTAGTCGACCGCGGTTCACGTCCTGGACCCGGTGGCTTAAAATTCACGCCGGGCGTGTGTGCGTGCGTGCCCAAGATCCCGAGAGAAGAATGGAGGAGAAGGGATTGCGGCATGACCATCCCCCCTGGGGGGTGATTTCTCGCTTTCTGTCTCTATGTCTCTCTCTGTCTGTCTGGCGAGCGCACGCGCCCTACAGTGAAAATCTCTCCAAAAAAAAAGAACAAAACAGGGATCAAAATGAAAATATAATAAACAGCAGGGGAAAAAATTCTGTCAAGGTGATTATTTAAATCATTGAAGATAAAAATAGGGCCAGTTTTGTAGCCTGATCCCACATGGCTGACCCAGCAGTTCAAGAAACATGCTGGGTGATTGTCTATGTGCCCCAAATTCTGACAGTATGGAGAAATAGAGGAAAAGGAGTTGCAGAGTCATCATTCCCCATGGGGAGGGCTTTCTCACTCTCCCTCTCTCTATGTCTCTGTTTCTCTCTGGCAAGCACATGAAAACTGGCAAAATTGGAACTAAAATAAAAAGAAAAAGAATTAAAATTCTGTTTAACAACTTAGCTTAAACTTGCAATGACTTACAACATAAACAAAGAATACAGTTAACTAATTCTCTCATGTGAAAGAGAAATAAAAACAATTTTACCAAAAGTTAAAAACCAAAACAGAAATAATACTCCTGATTTTGCATCATTACACAAAAAAGGTTATTCTGGCAAAAACTATAAAGTCATTACAATTTTTTTCCCCAAGCAATTGGGGAAAAAACTGCTCCTCAAAGCCATTCTCTTTTGGGAACCAGCAGTTAGCGTAATGGCTATGTCACTGGACTCCCACGTAGTCGATCGCGGTTCACTTCCTGGGCCCGGTGGCTTAAAACTCACGCCAGGCGCGTGCGCGTGTGTGCCCAAGATCCCGAGAGGAGAATGGAGGAAAAGGGATTGCGGCGTGACCATCCCCTCTGGGGGGTGATTTCTCGCTTTCTGTCTCTATGTCTCTCTCTGTCTGTCTGGCGAGCTCATGCGCCTTATAGCGAAAACCTCTCCAAAAAAAAAAAAAAGCCATTTTCTTTTAAATAATTTTCATCTTTATTAATTTTCTAATTCTTGACTAGTAATTGGTCTAAGCCTAATCTTTTATGCCAATGTAATTTAGCCAATTACATCAATTACATCAACTCAGAAAATGGATGTTTTCCCAGACTTACTATTTCATTTAATACAAAAAAAGCATCCTTATAAACTACCAATACTTGAATCATTTTAATTTCTATTTATAACAAAAACGTTTTCAAAGTTTTGATTTTAGGGAACCAGCAGTTAGCGTAATGGCTATGTCACTGGACTCCCACGTAGTCGACCGCGGTTCGCGTCCCGGACCCAGTGGCTTAAAACTCACGCCGGGCGCGTGTGCGTGCGTGCCCAAGATCCCGAGAGGAGAATGGAGGAGAAGGGATTGCGGCGTGACCATCCCCCCTGGGGGATGATTTCTCGCTTTCTGTCTCTGTCTCTCTCTGTCTGTCTGGCGAGCGCACGTGCCCTATAGCAAAAACCTCTCCAAAAAAAAAAAAAGTTTTGACTTTAAACATAAACAAGGCACTGACCAGCAGATGGCATAATGGTTACATCACTGGGCTCCCAGGTAGTTAACTGCGGTTAAGAGTTCCAGATCCACTGGTTTAAAACTCACAGTGGGCACATGTAAGCGTGTGCCCAAAGTCCCGAGAGGAGAATGGAGGAGAAGGGACTGCAGTGTGGCCATCCCTCCTGGGGGTGATTTCTCACTTTCTGTCTCTCCAGAGAGCAGACATAAGCAAAAAGTCTCTCCAAAAAAAAAAAAAAGTAAACAAGACAGGGGCTAGCAGGTGGCATGGTGGTTAAAGCACTGGACTCCCACATGGCAAACGATGGTTTAAGCCGTGGACCCGGCAGCTTGGAAATCATGCCAGGCAAGTTTATGTGTATGCTCCAAATCTTAAGAGAAGAAAGAGAAGGGACTGCAATGTGGTCATCTCCCCTGAGGGGTGATTTCTCACTTTCCCTCAGTCTCTCAGGAGAGTGCATGTGCCCTATGGCAAAATCCTAAAAGAAAAATAAGCAAGGCAAAAATAAAAGTGGTAGTAATCCTACCTGTGTCTGTATTTCCTTAAACTTTTTCATCAGCTCTTTCATTTGCAGCTGACATTTTCCATATTCTACCTGCAACTGTAAAACATAAAAGAATTCATTTTAAAATAATTCTAAATAATTTTCTTAGCTTAAATGACATCTCAAAATATTTATAAGCCTGCAAATCAATCCACTAGAAGGAGTAGATAAAGTCTACTTCTAATAGGAATTTAGTAAAATTATGGATTTTTAAGGTTGGGCCTACCAATAATGTATTTTGTTTAGTATCACATTCAACCTTCAAACCTTAAAATTCAAATATGGTGGAAAAGGGACCAGCAGATGGCATAGTGGTTACGTGACTGGATGCCTACATGGCCGACCGACCACAGTTCTAGTCCTGGACCTGGTGGGGACCTGGTGGCCTGAAAGTCATGCTGGGTATGTGTGCCTGTGTGCCCAAGATCCCAGGAGGAGAATGGAAGGGAGGGAACTGTGGTGGGGTCAGCCCCCTCCCCAGGACCAGGGTGATTTCTCACTTTCCTTTTCACTGTCTTTGTCTCTCTCTCTCTCCCTCCAGAGCAAACACGCCCTAAGGCAAAATCTCTTAAAAAAAGAAAAAAACAGGGGTCAGGAGATGGAGTTGTGTTTACATCACTGGAGTCCCAGACCTGATGGCTTAAAAATCACATCGGAAGGACCAGCAGTTAGCGTGATGGCTATGTCGCTGAACTCTTATGTAGTCAACCGCAGTTCAAGTCCCGGACCCGGTGGCTTAAACTTACACCAGGCACGTGTGCATGCCCAAGATCCCAAAAGGGGAATGGAGAAGGGACTGCAGCATGGCCATCCCCCCTGGGAGATGATTTCTCACTTTCTATCTCTCTCTCTCTCTGTCTTCCTGGTGAGCTCACGTGCCCTATAGCAAAAACATCTAAAAAAAAAAAAAAAATTATGAAAAAAAAATCACATTGGAGGTAAGTGAGTGTGTGTCCAAGATCTTGGGAAGAGAATGGAGAAGGAATTGCGGTGTGGCCATCCCTTCTGGGATGACTTTTCACTTTCTCTCACTGTCTCTGTCTCTCTCCAGTGAGCACCCATACTGTAAGGCAAAAAACTCTTTAAAAAAAAAATGGTGGAAAGATATCCGTTTCCTTTAAGTCTTAGGACACTATGCAACACACAATATGGCTTAGTACAAACCTTGAAAAGATATCACAGTGCCTATTAAGGTTTTCTATATTCAAACGCTTAAATTTAGTTAAGCAGGGCCAGCAGGTAGCATAATGCCTAAAGCACTAGACTTCAAAAGGCTGACCACAGTTCAAGTCCCAGACCTGGTGGCTTGAAAATCATGCCAGGTGTGTGTGTGTGTGCCCAAAATTTCAGAAAGAGAATGGAAAAGGGATTACAGCCTGGTCATCTCCCCTGGGGGATCAATTCTCACTTTCCCTCTCATTATCTCTCTTCTCCAGTAAGTGTACACATGCTATGGCAAAAACCTTAAAAGAAAAAAATTTAGGTAATCAAACTGAATTTAGACAACTATTCAGAAGATATTCTTGGTATTATTTATTTATTTGTATTTATTATTATTTTTTTTTTATTGACCAGAGAGAAACACAAAGAGAGGAAAAGTGAGAGAGCAGGTTGCTAGATCTGGGACTCAAATCACTGTTGACCATGGGGAGTCCAGCACCTTAACCACCACACCACCTGCCAGCCCCGAAGACATTCTTTTTTCTTTGTTTTTGGCCAAAGGGTGCTTACATTCACCAGAGATAAAAAGACAGAAAATGAGAAATCACTCTCCCCTGAGGGGATGGCCGCATCGCATTTTCTTCTCCTCCATTCTCTTTTTGAGATCTGGGCACGCATGCATATACACCTGGCATGATTTTCAAGCCACGGGTCTGAAATTTGAACCCTAGAGTTGGCCATATGGAATCCAGAGGAGTAAACACCACACCACCTGCTAGTCCAGAAGATGTTTTTTAAAAATTACTTAAATATAATTTTAATCTAAAAACCAGTTTCTAGGGCCAGTGGGTGGTATAGTGTTTAAGGTGCTGGAATTCCCACATGGCCAACCACAGTTTGAATCCCAGACATGGCGGCTTGCTTTCTCATTCTCCTCCTCTCTTTCTCTGGCAAAATTTGTATTAAAAAATATATATATTTTAAAAAACTAGTATCTAAACACACGTAGTGTCTAGAATAGTAATAGTCAATGTTCAACGGTAAATTGTTCTCTTCTCTTCAGGAGTTATAAGAGTAAATAAAGCCAGTCTCGTAGCATAGCAATTAGGCATTACACACAAAAATGGGTCCCACAAGGCCAACCAGGATTTGAGTCCTGGTCCCATCAAGTTTATAATGGGTACATATATGCTTGCCCTGGATCTTCACAGGATAAGCAAATGGAGGAAAAATTACTGCAGTATGTCCAGGCTCTGTTGGAGAAGTGCTCTCTCTCTCGTGTATGTATGTATACACCTGACGTAAGAGTAAAAAAATTATCCTTAATAATTATTGCAATCCATACTTCATTATATGTTGCCTCCTTTGCAGTTCCTTCTTCAGTCAGAATCTCTTCATATAAATCCAAACAATTTCGGGATGGTACACAGGATTTGGAAGCGCTATCTAAAACAAACAAAGAAAAACAACTCGTACATTGAAATATTTGTTAAGCTTTTTATGTTGTGTCTACCTTAAAGGGGTGTATGTTTCTCTATCTCCTCTATTTCACCCAAATCTATAATAATTTTACACAAGACAGCTGGCATGCCAGTTTATCTAAAATAGTTGTGTCAATAAATCAAGTGCAAAGATCACAGTTGTCTAAACTTTGAGATTTGTTTATGTACAAGCTTTTTAATTTGGACAGATTATTAGACTCTCTACATATATCTAAAAATATTTGGGTAAAAAGTAACTACACTTTTCAAATGTTCTAGTATCATGTAACTTGTGATGACATGAGTAGTTAAATATATATAGACACAAGCACACGTTCCATTTCAATAGTAATAAATAATTTTACACAAAGTTTAAATTTATCCTATTAAATTTGAGACCTAGATAAATAAGAAAACTGTCTGCTAATTTGAATAAGCATGGGACAAGAAAAATAACAACCTGGATATATCAGGTTGTCAGAAAGGTAATGACGTATTTTTCTATACAAAAAATTCATGAAATTCATGATGTATTTTTGAAACTATTATTTGAAATTATTATTAGAAATAATATATATTTGAAAATATTATTAGATTGCTGGGAAATTCACGATGCTTTTTTTTTTTTTTGGAAAGGTTTTTGCTATAGGGCATGTGCACTCGCCAGACAGACAGAGAGAGACATA